CGTTTGGACACACGAAGTCAAACATCTTTAACATGAGAAGAAAGAGATTGATGTTAAACCTAGATATTTAAAAACTTTCAATTTCCATTTATGCTATCCATAATCACCGAATGGAATAATCTGTTCGCATATATCCTCGTGAAAAAATAGTTGCACACAGTATTTTTAAGATATTTTCCTTACGAAAATATACTTTTACAAAAATGATCACATATTCTGATAGCGCTTGAAATTCTCTACAATTCTGTATATTTAAATCTGGTCTTGCATTTATTTGCTGAAAAATACATTGAGTGCAATGACGGCCCCCTCATCGTCAGATTCCCAGAAATTGTAATGAGTGTGGCATCTCAATATTTTCTATTTTTCTCGTGTTTCTTTAGGACCCAAAGGTTAATGTTTTCTTAAAAAGATGCGCCGCGAAATGCTCTACAAAACCATACCTAACCTTTCATTTTAAAGCTTCAATCAAGAAAACTACGCAGATTATACGAAAGACGAAAAAAATGAAAATTTTGAAAATTTGTTATTTTTTTCCACCTGAACCTTTTTCTGCTACTATTTCCGTAAAAAAAGGGTTACAAAGAAGTCAGTTCTTTTTGTACTTCTGAATGTGCTCTTTCTCGTGGTCTGTAAAAAATCTTTTAGAATAGATGGTGTGAAAAAAACTAAAAAAGTAGTGAAAAAATGCACCTTTTTGGTACTTGTCAATTGGGGGTACCTTCGCTGTACTCAAATTATTTTTTCAGCAGATAAATGTAAGACAAGACATAAATATATAGGATGATAGAGAATCTATCAGAATATATAATTACTTTTATAAAAAGCAATTTCTATAGTGATGATAAATTTAAAAAGCAAGTTGAAGAAATAGTAACAAAATGCAGTCCGTGGGAATCTGACAATGTGAAGGCCGTCATTACACTCAGTTTGTTTTTCAGCAAATAAATGTAGGACAAGATATAAATATACAGAATTGTAGAGAATTCCAAGCGCTATCAGAATATGGGGTCACTTTTCTAAAAGCATGTTTTTGTAAGAAAAATATCTTAAAAATACTGTGTGCAACTATTTTTTTCCACGAGGATATAACACAGTAGAAGTGTAAGTATTTCTATAAAAACATCCATATTTTGTATGACTCTCGTTCCAACATTTCGCGGGAATACTCTGTATTTTCTCTCTGGTAAATGGAAAATGAGTAAATAGACTGGTCAGTCTGAAGCCGAAAATGGACATTCTTAGCCTTAAACGGTGTGAAGAAGTCTCGCTTTCTTTTAGATTTTTTTGTTTTTCCATGCTAACTATCAAAATCCAGAGTAATATACGTGCCAGTGAGAAATGAGCTGCATCTTAAAGCCTACTACGGTATAAGATCACCTTGTCGTCAGAGTGCACGGGTGAGCATTTTGAGTCTGTTTGTCGAACAAAAGATAGTTGCACAGTCATAGCATCCATTCATAGGATGTTAGATTATCTTCGCCAACGAAATATGGTTAACAATAATATACGACATACATTCCACGGATATATACATTCTCTGAGAATTCAAGTGTGAATGTTCGATGTTTCACGGCAAACATAACCCCATCATTAAAATTCACACATCAATCATTCTCCTATTCTGCGATCAAATGAAAGTCACAAATCGATTACTAGAAAATATACGGCAAGCGAACTCAGAGAAACATCTAGAACTAAAATCTTTTACAAGCACAAAAACATCTTCGCTGCTACTATCGGATGAGAAAATTCAATTATCTGACAAGGTAAGCAAGAGTAATTGTGAGCCCGTCCTATATCAGTTAGTGAAAATGTAGTTTTGTTTGATCGTTACTGAGCATTTGAGATTCGAGATGCTCATTTTTAATTGGTAGAACGTGATTTCAAGCCTCGATCGGAGATACTGCATGAATCAAAAAACGATCTTATTGGTGGAAACTTGTTTGAATGAGTGGAATCGATAAGTATTTTTGAAAAGATTAAAACAATCGCACAAATAAAATTGATTTTCTGCATCCTAAAAAGTCGAAGAGATCCTTTTTATTTCTCAAGAGCTGAAAGACAAAACATGCCTTATTTATTTATTTACAAGTACAATTTGTGTAAAACAACGACAAATGTCATGCAGGTGCGACCAGGGATCTTCGTGGGCGGGAATCTTATGGGATCTCACGAGATGAGACGAAAATTTTCAAAGTAACATAAAAATTTTCAATAAAGGATGAGATTTCAGGAAGATGAGGTAAAATTTTCATCTCCAGAGATTCCCACAAAAAAACTTGACTTTTTGTTGTTGAAGTTTGAGTGAAGTATGTTTGTAGTGGAAGTTTTGTCTAAAGCTACTCATCCATTGCAGAGTTGTAACCGGGCCAGCCCGGTGCCGGTCCGCTCAGGTGTAAAAGTTTATACCGGCCGGTCTCCATCGGTCTTTTGCCGGTCTAAAAAGATTTTCAAACTGACCGGTGATTGAGCAATCTTTTGCCGGTTTTGAAATTCTTAGAAATTTTCTCTTATTCACTAAAAAAAGTTAGTTTTTCCATCCTCTCGTCCATCTAGAAAATCTTTGAAAATCAGCCGGCTTTCTGCCGGTTTTTTCACCGGTCTAAAACTTTTCAAAACCGACCGTTCTTTTGCCATTTTTTAACCAGTCTAGAGAATTTTTCAAAACCGGCAGGCCTTTTGCCGGTTTTTCAACAGTCTAAACCAATTTGTGGATCGGCCGGCCCTGTCCGGCCTCTTATTTTTAGGCCGGTTAAAACTCTGATCCATTGTCTTATAGTTCTAGGAAGATAATACGTCTCGAAAACGATACAAAAAATTGAAAACATCTCGTTGAAGAGTTTTCAGACACCCCGCGCAAAAGAATGATATCAATGAATTAGAGTGTGTGTTTACTTCTGGATCAGAGATGGACAGGTCCAATTTTGGCTTTGAAGCATTAGTTGACGGACTTCGACTCGACAGTTTTTTATCAAGTCCATTCGAAGTCCAGTTAGAATCTACCATATTGAGGGATGAGAGTGAAAAATTCGAAATACCTGCCAGGTTTTTCAGGTAAGCGCGTTAAGCAGAGCAGGCTGATGAAGAACAATGCACACATATGACGTAATAGACATTTAAATTATACGTCGATCCGATCGATTCGATTACTGTTTCATTTAAGGGTACCTCCGCCATCTTTTTTGCAAAAAACTTTTCATTTTGAGTTGAGCATAGTCTAATGTAGAGGAAAGTCTGGGCTATAATATGACACCACTCCCAGTTCTCAACGGCTTTTCTTGGAAAAATTATGAAGTTTTTCCTTCATAACCTAGAAAATTTCAATTTTTTAGTTTCGTAAATTTTTCTCTTCTTTCCTATATACGCAAAAAATCTTCTTATAAATAGCATGATAGAAGAAAGTGTACTCTTCAAAATGAGACGTCTTTCAGAGTTTTCCGATGAGTTTTCGTGAAGATATAAGCATCACCGCAAATGCCCTGAAAAACACAGCCCATAGAAGAACATGTCAGAAAATTCTGGACAAAAATACATCGATTTCCTTTTTCGATGTTCTATCTCTGGTATAAATTCCACCTCGATCAAACATCGGTTTTCAAGAGGATCAAAAAAGAGGAAGAGGTTACCCTTAACATTTTACAAATCGGTTCTCAGTGCGGAAATCGTGTCTTATTTTTCGTCTTACTTAATCAAAAAATGGCATCGATTACTACGAATACCGAGACTAATTCCGGTTATGTTGAGAAAAAATTAGTCAAAAAATCGTAATCTGTCGGACTTGCCCACCTCTGTCCTGTATGATGATGAAGATTTTTGAAATCCACCATACGAATGTTTTCAGACTTTTTTGTATGATAGTAATTTCTTATAGCCACGCCTATAAATACGTTTTGAGTAAAACGATAGACTTCTAATTAAAAAAAACTGATTCCTAATACATACATGTTCATTCTAGTCACCATTTCAATGTACGTTTAAACAAATCCCACCGATATATCTCGATAAATCGAAAATAGAAGATGGTTTTTCGTCAATTAGATGGCTCTTCTATTCTATAGAAGTTTCTTCAAGCTTAAATTTTAATTTTCATCTCTCCTTAAGTAATCCAAATATTTGAATTTGTTTCAAAAAATATTTAAAACTGTACTTTTAAAATTGCAGATTTTATCCATGGATGAGAGATTTCTTTCCTTTGTCACAAATATTTCATGTTTGTTATTTATCTCTAAAAGATTGTTCTAAGTTTAAAAAAGAGAAAAAAACGACGACAACAACAGAAAAACTCAACCAAACAGATCGACGAAGAACAAAACATCATGTACAAGTACAATATACATTTTACATACAAGAGTATAACAGAGAGAAAGAGAGCGCTGAGTATGTGCGTGTACACAAAAGTACTACAATTAAAACACAATACATGTAGATCAATATCGTTTTGAAACAGCAACAAAACATACATAGCGCTGTAGTCACACATAAAAAAAAGATTTGTTGCTTTTTTTTTTTTTGTCTGCTCATAACTACAAGAACATGAGGTTAAGTAGATATAGAATACGAGATCGTATCGTTGCTATATATAAACGAGCGAAAACATTTTTATGTATTAGACGTTATGATGAGAGGGAGAGAGAGTGAATAAGATGTTGGTAGGTGTCTGTTTTAGAAACTTGAATTTTGTAAAGACAGTCCTTTGTCCTCATCTGCTGGAGTTCTTAGAAGAACGAGAAAAACATGAAATCACTGCGTAAAACGCACTCGCACAAGAGAAAAAATAATAGGACAATTATGAGAGTAAAAAAAAGAATCAAACAAACAAAACATTATACAATAAATTAAAACAAACGAACAAAAACAATAAAAAATGGTTTTTAATGTTATCAAATTTTCCAGCGCACAAAACAGCGCAACCATCACAATCACTCGAACGGATACATGTGCATAGATATAACTTTTTACGTAAAGAAAATGAAAACCGAAAGGAAAAAATACTCTTTTCAAGTCAAACTTGGATTTTGTATTAACATTGTCGGCTCATCTGAATATAATGAATGATGTAAATGATGTGTTGATGATGGATGAAATGCAGCTGTCGAATAGGCGAAAGCGGCTGCTAGTGGATTAATCGGGGGAAAATTTTGTGTTATAAAACTCGTTGCGGATGATGGCTGTGGTGGAGTCGTAGATGGATGATTTAAACGCGAAGAATAATATGATGGCGAGGTGAATTGTGATGGAAGTGAAAGTTCTTGCTGCGATTCAAGATGGTGAAAATTATTTGTATCGTCATTATTCGGTATTTTATTATTATTATTATTACCACCGATTAAATTTAAACCACCGATAGATGGTAGTAAATGAGAATTTTGATGTTGTTGCTGAACTACTGAAGATGATTGTGTATATGAACGTAAAATATCGGTTGGATACGTTTGCGGAGTTTGAACAAATGTATTTGGTCCATTACTCATATTATTCGTTGATGAGGGAGGCAGACTCGGAAACGATCGTTGCATTCCGCTTGATGCACCTGATGATGCAGAATTTAAAAGAAAAACTTGTTGTGTTTGTTCGGGTTGTTGCCATAAATTCGGCGGATACTGATTTGAACGTGGCTGTAATTGTTGTTGAGAATTAGAAGATGTTGTTGTTGATGGTACTGTTTCTATTACATGACGATAAGATTCTTGACGATAGCGAAGTGCTACAATAAAACAAAGAAAACATAATGTAAAAACTAATTTAAAAGTTCTTTTTTCCCTACCGTTTGAATATTAATTCAGTAATGTCTAGTAGAAATAAATGTTAGTGTCTCTTAGAAATATTATATCGCTTGTAAAGCACAATGCCTAAGAATCCTAGATAGCATAGGATCTGTTCCATTCCATTAGAAGCAAATGCTCAATCTGTTTTCGCGATAATCATATAGCTCATTAATAAGCCTATTATTTCTCTTTTTCTCATAAATAGCAGACTAATACCAGTAGTCTGACAAATGAGCTATGGTGATACATTAGTCGAAAAATAAATATGAAAAAACTTAAGCACAATCTGATAGGCTATCTTACACGCTTCAACCATAAACTTGATGAAAAGTAAGTTGCGATATGGAAGCATTATTCAAAAAGCAACAGCGCATCTCAACACGGCAGCAAAAATAAGGAAGACCGTAACATAGGTGTCGAAGTTTTGTTTTATTTACAAAAACCGTAGAGAAAATATCAAAAACGATACAAAACAATACTTCAAAAATGAAAAGAACTGAAATGTATATGTAAAAAAAGGACCGATCGATTACTTATCAATAGCCGTTTGAAAATGGCTTATTTATAGCGGTATTAGTCACGAATTTTCGTCCTGTTCCTCCTGCTCCTAGAACTTTTACTTGTTGCCCATTGTTTAAAGTTTCTAAAGTATGATTAGAAAACTGAACCTTTGACAAAACGTTTTTACTAAAAGGAATAGAATACATACTTGGATCAAGATTCGGTGAGCCATTGTTATTGTTGTTATTTGTTCCACTATTTCCACCATTACCCAGAATATTATTTGCACTTCCGCCTGCTGATGGTGTATAATTACCTTCTTCATATGTACGTTTAAAAAAACTATGCTGTAAGGCAATAAATGGTGTAATTCGTCGTTTTGGATCATATTCTAACATTTGTTGTACTAAATCTTTAAATTTAACATAATCTTGTGTGCTGTGATTCGGTTCACCCGTTCGCCGTCCACCCGGCCCACCCAAATCCACTCCAAGAATATCATGGAGCTTTTTCGCGCCTGGTGTCCGATACTAAAATGTCAATATGTCTATCAAGTAAAAGAACAAACTAAACCGGAATGAATGCCCAATACGTACTCTTCTCTCTTTACTTCGTTTTGCCACCCACGTATTATCTGGCAAACGGTCGAAAAATCGTTTTGTTTTCGTTCCTTGTTCCAGAATATTATTTGGTGGCATTCCCAGGACTGAAAAAAACAAAAAATATGAATGTTGCTCAAATAAGTACGTATAAATCACATACCTTCAACAATTTTCATGATTTGATCGAACTAATTAAACAAATATATATGCGCATTAATAGCTATATTTAGAGTTGTGATTTGCTAACTCACTTCATTTGTTCCACTAAATAATGGTTCTCCTGTATGCATTTCCACAAGGATGCAGCCCAGCGACCACATGTCGATCGCCATATCGTATGGGATACCCAGAAGAACTTCGGGAGATCGATAAAATCGACTTTGGATATATTGATAGAGCTACATAAAAAGAAACGACAAATAGTAACATTAAACAAAAAACACTTATATTTCTTTCGTGCGTTTTGTCAAAATTTAATCTTTCCTTGACTGTAATTAAGGGTCATAAAACGAAAAATATTGGACTTGCAGCCACAAGACGGCGGATTCACAGGCAGGAAAAATTGAAATCTTTATCAACAGAAAATTCTTCTGACTTCAGTTTAGCATGGTGTAAGAAGGAGTTTATACTTAGTCCAAGAGATTCTGGTTCGTGGAATCTATAGAATGTCTCTAGAAAACTCTGATGATACTCTATCACTTATAGTCAAAGAATTCAGCGAGTTCCAGCAGGTGATACTTTAACGAAATATGATTATATAAATCTTATTTTAACCCCAACTAGTAGCCACAAATAATGCTATGTATAACCTACGCGTTGTCCTAACTGACATGAACTTCCAAAATCGACAATTTTGATAGCACTACGTTTTGGATTAACTAATAAAATATTTTCTGGTTTCAAATCACAATGGAGTACACTCAGTTCTGGTTGTGATAAAAATAATAACGCGGATAAAAGTTGTAAAGCAAATTTTCGTGTTAAATTCAATGATACACCACGAAAATTTGTATTACGTAATAAATCGTATAAATTATAAGATAACAATTCAAATACAAGACATAAATGGTTACGGAAATTAAAATGGCGCTTCAATTTAACTAAAATAAAAACAAAGCAATGAAGGGAGTAGGGTAAGTCTATCGGTAATCTTCCACATTTACAGGAAGTCTCTGGAATTTCAGGATTTGTACTACATGATGCACTGAATCGAATGGTACCAGGTGTTTCCATTCGAGCCGTTCACCATTACATGACATAACAGCCGCACAAATGTCGATACTCTTTTCGTGTAGTGCATAGAAAATTACGTAAAAGCTCGCAATACCTGTCGACAAAAGTCATATTCTGCATGCCTTTTTGGAAATGTCAAGTTTCGACTTTAATGAAGCAACTTTACAAAATTGATTATGTTCGATGAAGGCGGCTGTAAGTTTTTCGCTAAATTATCGTCAGCGATACATTTCTCGCATCGAATATACGGATTCTCATTAGAAAAAGTAGATCAATAAAATTCTGACAAAATAGCGGCCAATAAACAGTTTTTCTATACTACGATTTTTAAGCAATTTTGTATTATTTTAGTTAAAAATAAGATGGATTGCGAATTAACAACTATTTCGTTTCAACTGAAATTTAAGAACAGAGTGGAAAGTACGCGAAAACATGGAAATAGTAATCGATAGTCTCTCTCTACAAGATGGCATATACAGCTAATCATGAAAATTCGAAAATCGATTCCTAGAAGCGAAAGAAAATATCTTGTTGGTATCGTATTTCAGATGTCATCCGTTAACAATAATGATCAAAATCTGATACAAATGCGGCTGGATAGAAAATATATTAGTGTTGAATTTAGCGTAAACCTTCATGGAGAAAAATCGATTTTTCACACTACTACTAAAATGAAAAGTCCATAATGTGCGTCATCACAAATCATGATGCTCAGAGATTTTTAAACTTTCATGTTTTTACCATTCGACTCAGTGTGCAAAGTACTACAAACTCTGAAAGTTTTAGCGTTCACCCCAAAGATTTTCTGTAAATGGGGAGAATGCCTATGAATCTACCCAATGGCAATTCACGTCAATTCAATAGCATATACTAAAACATACCAATATAACCATTATTATCTACATCATGTTGGTTCATTAACTCTAGTAGTCGTACTTCGATTTGAGCTTGCGATAGAAATGGTCGCTTATTTTTAATTATTTTAATGGCAACAAACTCTTGATCAATATGATCAAATGCTTTGACAACCTGAAACAGTAAGAAAATAAAGATTTATATTTTGGATTATAAATATCTTCAAAACAAAAAACTTACTTGTCCAAAACTTCCTTTTCCAATAAGACAATCAATGGCGTAACGTTCTAACCAAACTTCTCCTGCACGTACAATATAATCATGGTTTTCATCGTCGTATCCATCATTCAAGTTACGTTTTTCTTTCTTATGTAAGCCATTGTCTTCAGCAACTTGATTATTGCCTCTTTTTTTCTTTTTAGCGTAATAGACCTATGAATAAATATAAGTAAAACGACAATGTTCCAAAATGAAGGCAAGCAACGTTTATAGTTCAAGAAACGGAATAAAGATCCAATTATCACATAGTTTAAGAAATGTACTTTCCACGCTAGCATAAGAGCTTGTTTCAATTATTGCGTGTTCAAAATCCCTACCCTCTCTAAAAAAAACATCGATATATGGTTCAGTGATGCACAGCAAAGCTTCATATGGACTGGACTAGACTCAAAATTTTGAATACATACGAGGTTCTGATGCGTAGTAGTATCTTGTTTAGAGTACTTATGGCCAAACATATACTATCTTAAAACAGACACCAAAAGTTCAAGACATCGTTTTTTTATTCTTCTACTAATCTAAATTTTATTATTTGTTAATCTAGAGTATTTTACAAAACGATCGTAAATTTCGCTGAGTGAATAGAATTTCATCTAGAAATAGAAGTAGGTATAATGATTGTTCTTCAATCAAGCATTTAAAATTTTAAATCATCATAATATCAATATTTCATTTTGTAAAATAAATCTGCAGAAAAATCCTTATACAAAAATCTTAGTTTCAACTTCTCTGCAGAAAAATCTTTTTTCCTCTGTTATTTGGATCTTTCATCCTTACATGGTCCATGAAGGATACATACAAGACTACAGCTTATCACTTATAATATCAATTCAACTAAATCTGAATTAATCAAAATTATTTGTCAACGTAGCCCCTATCGAAGCTCAAATATATAACTCCTCTAGCAGCAAAGATAGTAGTTTGTCATTTTGCGTATGAGCTAATTTGAAAACGACTGAATTCTTTTAACAGTAGCTGGACGAAGGTTCTTCGTCCACCTGCTGTTAAAACAATAGTAGTTTGTTGTCGCGAATAAGTTAGGTGAAGAAGTTACACAAAATCGAGAAAAGAAAGTGTCTTTAACTTTTGGTGTCCGTTTTACACTGTATGCATCTTTCATTAAGATTCAAAAAGCGAATGATAATCAGAAAATACTGTATCATATCTACGCTCCACAATGCTGTTCTTTATAGATAGAGGATTTATGAGAGCAGATACGCTGCACTCTAAAACTTACTTCATATATCGGTTCAACAGATACTGATCCGTTACTTGCTACTGATGTAGGCAATATATCATACTGGTAACTAGCTGCACTACCATACATAGAACTGCCACCGTTACTATCTGTTAAACTACTCGCATTTGACGATAAATGATGAGAATAAAAACGTTCCCGTCCAAATTCCCAATCGGGATATGGCATTTGTACATATTGCATTTTTATCTATCGTTCTAGGTCTGAATTTTTTACAGTAAAAAAAGTCGTATGTACTTATGTACCGTGAGCATAAATAATCTTGAAATCAAGGATAAATAACAATATTTTCTCAACGTTATTATCGATGATCAAGAGCACACTAACCAAAGTGGTTTAAGGAAACTTGAAATTGACAAGAAGACAGTTACGAAAAAATTATTAAACTAATTTAGATCTGAAAAGAAAGGTGCTTAAAAACAACTTTTCTTGATTATTTGATGTATTAAACATGGTTGAAAAAAAAAGGTAGTTACCATTTTTAAATAAAAATCTATTACACAAAAGTATTTTAAAGCTGATAAGTGGTTCTTTAGAATCCTACGCCACTCTCTCAGGATATAATATTATCTTACGATGATTAATGCCCATCAGATAAAAGTGTACGTTATTCTTAGATAGGTAATGAAAAATACGGTATAATACTTTCAAGGACAAATCGCAAAAAATATGAATTATTCATCAAAAAAGCTTTATGTGCAAATCTGACGTGACCTAGTTCATCGACGAAACCATTTTATGTAATCTATCTTGTCCTATATAAGGAGTAGAAAAAACATTAACATGAATATAGCTTTTCCAACGTTCGTGCTAAAATATATCGCAAAGAAAATCCTGTTTACAGACATGTCAAGTTGTACGATAAAATAAACGAATACTTAATTGTGATGATGTCAGTCGAAGGAGTATTATTGATTAAATAATTAGGAGAAAATATATTTTAACAAAAGTAATCGAATGAAATTAAAAAAATGTAAAGAAAATTAATGTATCGAAACCACAGTAGTAAAAAAAAACTTTTTTTCCATTTTTAAAGATATGAATGACCTGTATGAAGCACTGGACCATCACAGTCACATGTATGCATCCTATTTTGCTTATGATCAATTTTTTTGCTTTTCTCCTCATTGCAGATATATATTTATATATATGCAACAAAAGCAGAAACGGTACATTGATTTGATATTACCACATTGCGTATGTATATGTATGTATACGTGTGTATTTTAAAAGATTATTACATCAAAGGCGTAAAAAAAAACTGTGAGCACCTCTACGCATACACACGTGTACAGATGATGTGAAAAAGCATTCAATGGTAGAAAATATGTAAATGATAATTTTGCTTTGATTCTGCTCGTCTCATTGTGATATGATGAAAAGAAAGTTTTTTTCTTACAGGTACAACGAGGTATCGTCAATATACACACCTGCGGTAGTAGAAAGGATTTTAATGAAATCATTACATGTGGTTTGCTACTGTTCTTCAGCATTTCTATATGAAACGAGTTTCAAGGTTGGCGACCGTTACATATTCAAGGTAATAGTCAATATTCAGTCTCAGGTCAACAGCTTTGCGCCAATAGACAACTTTGATATTTTTCTGTGTCATTCATTTCATAGTGTTTTTGTTATTTGTAAAACACTAAAGAAATACGTGAGATATTTGTGCCTCAGTTGCGTGATCAAAGAATGTGAAATATGCACTCTGCTTCACATATGAAAAATCAATCCAATAGGTCTTCTACCACGGACGTCTATCCTGTCGGACGTTTGAGGCGCAATGCCTCAAACAAAAGTAAGATGCTACGCTTTTTTTTCTGTAGAAATTCATTTTTCAGTTGTACACTGAGAGATCGAACCTTCGAGGTGGTACAAAATGCCTCAAATATTCAGATGGGGATAGCCGCCGCTGTCTTCTACAGATTATTCTTAGTGGACTACAGATAATAGATTTCTGGAAAAAGCTCTGTAAGCTATATTTCAGAGAATCTCTCGTTCTCCAAAATCGTACGATCTTAAAATCGATAACATTATACGTACACTGATATTAAATACGAGATCACTATTCTTATCACTCACATTCTAATATTTCACTAATTTGTTTCACAAACACAACTAATAGTACAGACCAACTTTTCAACAACTTCTTATAATCCTACATCGGATCAACAATATTTTGGAATATCAAAGAGATTAGTTTTGAAGATATCAATATAAAATGAAAACTATCATTAGAAACCGTTGACTAGTCTTCATAGAGATAAACAACAACAGAAGAATCCGAAAAACAACTGGAAAGTATCGTACGGTGACAAAAAATCAAATGCGAGAGGCGAAACATTAGTTTAGAAAGTTAGTTAGACGGCTAGGATTAAAAATAATGAAAATTAGTTATACTCAAAAGTTTAAAAGCATCCATCGTGTAATAAGTGATCATTACTATTTTATATTCATCTTTCTTTGAAAAGTAACTAGTATCAATAATCGACCCATCTCCGATTATAAGCTAACAAAAAGCCATCGCCAAAGAAAAAAGTTCAATAAGCTTCAAATTACCTCGTTAATATGCTTATATGTTTTGATAAGATCAACACTAAGTTTTCTTAATGGTGCATCAATAGGATCACGATATGTTGCTGGTAACATGTTTGTCCATAATTATCTATCGTATCATTTGCGAAACATATCTAAACAAATAAGAAATAATACTCGTTAGAAATGAAATGAAGCAATAGATCACGTTCGATCAATTATAAAAGCAGCAAAAATAGTTAGTTAATGCAAATGTATTAACTGTTGTTCATGCGAGAACGGTCATTTTCGTATTTTAGCCGCTGCTTCAATTGTTAACTACGGTTCGTTCTTACGAGGGAAGGCCACCAACTGCCCCATCGCTTTTGGCTTAAAACCTAGTGGACAATAGGTAATCGACCATGCTAATGCCGAATATGATAGCCGTTTTCCCCCGCAGGCGTTTTCTAGTCGGTCTCTGGAAAACTGGTTTTCCAGAAACCTCGAAAAATCTCCAAAAC